AGAAAGCTCATACATTCCCCCGGTTATCCTTTGCACAGCGCGAGTGACCGTTCACTTCGATGCCGTTTGCGATCGCTTCGCGCCTCACGATACCATCTTCGAGATCACAGACGCCAAGGAGCTCAAGGATACTAAGCTCTCCGCTGCATGCTCGTTGCATGCCGCATCTGGTTCGACGTCCTCATCGACAAGCTCGCTGCGCCGAAGACGATTGGTGGAAATTACCGAGGAGGAGGAGGAAGAAGAACGGGAGAGAAAGAGACAATCAACTGTGAAAGAGGAAGACCACCGCCCTTGCACGCCCCACGGAACGCCTCTTTCTCCTGTAACGCTCAACGCAGATCTCGCCAACTCCCCGGAAGCGTCGCGATTTTCGAACGGCATAGATCCTCCCCAGTTTACTGGGCTCGAGACGCCCTATTCGCCGGCGCAATCACTGGATGAAGCTGCGCGGCGTGCATCTTCACAGTCTTCGCGACCTGATTTGTACCCCATCAGCTCCTATCCGTACAAACCTCGTGTAAAGCTTGGTCCCAGGCCGTCTGCCGCAGTGGAAGCTGCTGGTCGCCCGGGAACCTCTGCAAATGGAGCAACGAGACCTGTTGCGACATTGCCTGACAAGATAAAGGCACTTTCAAAAGGCACCAAAAAAGGTCGCTCTGGTGAGGACGAGGAAGGAGCTGAGGAAACAGAGAACACGTCCCCAGAAGCCGCGATTTCGGCAGTACCCGAATCTGGGGCTCAGACTGCTGAAGCCGAAGCTGATCAACCGGCGGCTCGCAACGGAATGTCTGCACTCAGTTCCCCGTCGTTGTTCAAGCCGGCCGAAGCACCGACCATCCCGGCCCCCCTGGCCAAGCAAAACACGATGACCCCTGAGAAAGCGCGGCTTTTGAAGGCGATGAAGCTGAGAGAGAAAAAGAAGATGCTGAGCTTGCAGCCTTCGGCTCTGGAACTGCCAACTGGTGACATACCATCTGCTCCCGGCTCGCCCTGTCTCCCCGATGATGACCAAGATATCGAGACTCATTCAGTTGCCCACCACGATGAAGAGCTTCAGGATGAAAATCATGGTCAGGATGACCTCGTCTCAATCTCCAAGGCCGACTCAAACACCGATTCAGGGATTGGCATTGAAGTTGGCGCAGACCAGTCCTCGATTGACGCACAACCAGATTCGCACCCTACCTCGCCTCTGGCTTCTTCGGATATCGGCGCCTCTACCCAGGCTTCGTCGTTGTCAGATTCGACGGAGGAGACCATCGTGGCCAAGGATGATGGGGATATAAATCATGATGGTAGCGATGCTGAACAGCAGCCCGCAAACAACATTTCTGAGCCGGCGACCAAGGTAGCAGATGAGGAGACCCTACAGGGAGACAGCAACGCAAATCTCTCGCCGGTATCGGATCCTCCCGCTCCAGCTTTGCCAGTATCCAGCTTCTCGGTTGCATCAGTCCCAGTGAAGGTTGAGGAGACACGCAGCACGACTCCAACGCCAGTGGTCGCCGAGAATGAAGAGGAAGAGTCAGCGACAGGCGCCGAAGCCGAGACGGTTCCCGCTGCCGTCGCTCAGTCGGCAGATGTGAAGGACGAAGCCTCGGCCACCACAACCCTACCGGTCCCCGACGAGACGGCAGAAACAAGGACGGCTGAGCTCGCCGAAACTGCAGCCGCAGAAGCAGGGATACCGAGGCGAAATAGCGGTGTAGAACTCATTCACACAAGCCTCCAAGCTCCAGAATTAGACAAGCGACAATCTGTAATCAGCATCACCGATAATGACGGTTTCATGGAGGAGCTCCGGTCGGCAACTTTGCAGCAGGCCACGCCGATCACCGTATCCAAGTCGCCGATTAGTCCATTCTTTCCGAATGATTCGAGCTCCAAGAGATCGACCATTGCCGGAACAGAGGGCGCTGGATTATCCCCCGGCAGGTTCACTAGGACAGTTTCGAGCCCTATTCGCACCTCGCTTCTGACGCCGAAGGACATGCCGCCACCGAGTACCTCGAGATCTGCTTCATCTGGATCAGCTTATTTGCAACGGGTTTCGCAACAGCAGGCAGCGGATTCCAGGCCCCAGAGCGCCGCCAGAGTAGGCTCAAGTATCTCTCAGCGTATCCAGGCACTCCAGAAGCTTTCAGGAAGCGTCGTAACAGCGGACGCTGTGCCCAAGGCGCGGCCCGCCTCCACTTTCTTTGCAGTCCGTAAAGCTGCTGGCCGTGAACATTCAAGATCTCCTTCCGTCGTGGACAGCAACATTTCGCTAACCAATGGACCGTCGTCTCCTTCTCCTCCCGGCTCGGCAGAATCGTCGCCAGACGCAGCCAGATTACCGAGACGAGATCGATCAGGGTCAGTGGTGAGCCGCCTCTCCATGTTTGAGGGGGGGATGCCCCCTAGAGGGAGGCCCGATTCGATTCAAGTCACGGCTCGCATTGTACGAGACCCTAACCAGCCTTACCCTCATGTTCCAGAGCCAAACACTGACGCCGCGGAGTACGGTCGCTTGGAGTTGAAGCAGTCGCCGTTGATGGTTGACCTACAAAACCGTGTTTCCCAGAGTCCCGCGAGATCGGTAAGCTCTGTGCAGGATTCGGGGCTTGAGAGACGACCTTCGTTGTTGCAACGGCGCATTTCTAGTAACACTCGCCGATCCGAGTCGCGGGAGCGGAATGGTGAGCTCGCTGTCGAGGAGCTCAAGAAGGTTCAAGAAGGGCTTCGCTTCCAGCGGCGGTCATCTCTGACTGTCGTCAAGGATTTCATAAAGGGTGCGAAATCTCCATCAAGCGATAACCTTGCTACGTCTTCTGCGCAAACCGGCCTTGCCTCCCCGGCCGCCAGCACAGCTTCTTCACGTCCTCCTTCGGTCCACAACAGCAGCCTTTCTCGCCGGCTGAGCATCGGCAGCCGCCGGTCATCTATGGAGCAAAATAGCCCTGCCGGTGCTGTGCTCTCCCCCATCCGCACGGACGTCGTTGCGGCTGCAGAGTCCGATGCCGAGAGCAGGGGTGAAAAGACCCCTATCAGCCCTAACAGTAAGACCAGCCGTACGTCTCGGTTCATGAGACGCATCTCCAATACCCTTGCTCCCAGCAGCAGGAAGACTGGAACGCCGTCAATCTCGCCCACAGTTGCCGAGGAAAACGCTGCGGAAGTTGAGGCTGCCTCAAGGAGCGGTTCGACGGCACAGTCTTCTCCAAGCATCATTGCGTTCATGGGTGACGTCAATGTCCAATTCCCTGATAATCTCCTTTGGAAGCGCCGGAGCATTTGCCTTGATAGCCATGGATTCTTGATTCTGAGCACCGTCTCAGGAGCCGCCATGATGCCGCCCAAGAACAAGCAGGCGGGTATGATGAAGCGTTATCACATTAGCGACTTCAAGAATCCTTACACTCCTGATGTCGAGCTACAGGAGCTCCCCAACAGCGTTGTGCTTGACTTTGTGGATGGCAGTGGGCTGCAGATTGCGTGTGAAGATCGGGCTGGCCAGATGAATATTTTGCATAGTAAGTTTTTTTTTCTGCCAGTTAAACTTTGGAAGACATCATCTTTTGCTAACATGCCTCAACAGTTCTTCGCGAAGCTCATCAAAGTCATGCACACTAATTGGATTTACTGGCTTGGATGTCGTTCATCTCAGCGCGCCCCTTCCCTTCACTGAAACGGTTTTCCGACCAATCCCTTTTTCTTATATTTTATATAACTCATCGCCCTTCGGACACCCTTATTTCCTTTTATTACATTTTACAGAATTATTGAGAGTCCTTCTTCTTCAGCACACAAGAAGAGGAAGAAGACATCGAGAGAATAATTGCCCCCTTCTTCAGTATGAATTTCTTTCCAAAACCTGTCGGTGGTCGTTTGTTGTTTGTTGTTGCTGTGGTCGTTCATATACGTACCCACGCACATCACACTCAGTCAGTTCTTCATTATTCATGATACCACTAAATCTCTCTGCCAAGACCTTTTTCCTGTTTTCACAAGGGATTATGCAAATTTTCCTCTTTTTTTTTTTCTTTTTTTTTTTTCTTTTCCTTTTTCGTTTCTTCTGGCGGAGCCGTGAAGGAGGGAAATGATGGGGCTTGAGGTGGAGGGTCAGGAGAATTTTCGAAACAGGCACAAACAAGGCATTTGCATATTGCTGCTCTGTTTTCCCACATTTCTCTGCAACAATGATGTAAATATATTACATACCAGACAAACATGACTGCCTTTTTTTTTTTCCTTCCCTAATAAAAATTTGCATTTGTTCATGATGTTAAAAGTGCCTTTTCACTGACGGATGGCTGGCTAGAGTTTGAACAAGAGAGAACGGGCATTAAATGTTCAAAGCAAGCGATTCATAGCTTATACTTTCCGTCTAAAACTTATGTCATGATAATGAATTGCACCTCTATCTATAGTAATTCATTCATCTTCATGTTTCTCCTTGGAAACTGCAGACCGAGGGGGCGGGGTTGAGGGTTCTCACAACCCCCACAATTCCTTAGCAAGCCCAGGAGTACGTATACCTACACAATACAGTCATATGCGGCAATCCCTCACGCGGTGATCGAAATAGCTTGTGCAGCAATAAACGGAAGACATAACAATACCCAAAAGACATGCCTTCCAATACATACCAGACGCATGAATGTGGTTTTTTTTCGAGGCCCCTTATCTACCTTTGATATATTCATTCCCGGTGAAATAAATAAGCAGGACATATGTTGGAATTTTTTTTAGAGTAGCCTTTTGAATTCAGATGCGCAACCTAGGCCGGCCTGCGCAAACGCAATCCCAAGCAAAAGTATCAAGGAGTGCTTGATTTATTTCCACTTGGGCGTGTTTGTGCCCCTTCCCCTTGAACATCCCGAACTGAAACTCCACATTCAACCAAAAATAGAGGGGTGGGTGGGGGGGGGGGGGACAAAAACAACGCAAAAAAAAAAAAAAACCCGCCAAAAAAATTTGAATCACAACTGAACTGTGTTGTGATTTGTTTTGCCACATGACAACTGTGAGATTCGAACTCACGCCCTTTCGGACCACGGAATTCATTTTCTTCCCAAGGAGAAAGAGGAGAATCTGTTATCAAGGATGTTCCTTAACGTGGCGCCTTAGACCGCTCGGCCAAGTTGCCTGGGGGATGACTTTGTGTGTTGAGGTGGTGCAGAGAGGATGAGGGTTTTGAAGCTGAGTCAAATCAATTTGGTAGCAAGTGTCTTGGAAAAGGCTTTGTTAAATCAGGATTGGTGGATGGTAAAGACTTTTTTTTTTCATGCTTGGCAATGTCAGCTATCTACTTTGTTTTCGTATGTGACTTGTGTCTGCTGTTAGGTCCAAAAAATAAATAATAAATAAATAAATAAAAAAGACATAAGGACACGGATTGCAAGATAATTATGAACCTGAATGAGGAGAAATTATTTAACAAACAAAAGTTACAAAACATCCTTCGTACTTTCATAAGGCGGAGGGACCCGTGTCATTGAATACTTGACAGTCGGCCGGAAAAGTAAGTAACTCTGAATACAGCTATGTTTAGATAATAGCTAGACAACACGTGGTGTTCTAGTATCATGATTCTTGACACCTTACGATGAGCTTCCATCAAACTTGCAACATTTCTGCTTGTTGACAGGAGTTTGATCGACCCGGGAACATGGTAAAGTATTTTGTACTTTCTCGGTCCCAATTACTATAATTATTAGATTTGATTGATCCGACCAAGACAAAAGATCAAGTCGATATATGAGATGGAAAAAAGGAACCCCCCCACAAGTTGGGGGTGAAGTCGACTAACAGCACAGACCACCACTTGCCGTTTTGTATCTCGAGTGTATGATTGGGCCAATCACATAATAGGATTTACACCATATAAAGCCTCGACCGATTGATGGATGAGGGAATCAGAGGCCTGCGAATGAAATTTGACAAAACAAGAAACGCGTGGGCTCGAACTGAACACATTATGCGAAGTGCTTCCGGCTTGCTGTGAGGTTAGCAAAATGTTACAAGAAATTGCGCATAATATTCAGCCCAACCTCAAACTGAAAGGAAGTTGCATCGGAGAGGAGGACGACAAGAGCATCTCGCTCCCATGCGGCGATACAGACGGAATTCCTCTCACAAGGATTTGCAATGCTCGGGATTATCAGTTTACACGGGCAACGCAAGGAGGGTTGTTACTAGCTCCGCAGTCAATAAGTTCATGCAGACAGGTTCCGTGAGGTCCTCTAAAGCTCAAACCTCACCATGAGCGATCACTAGGCGCGGGGTAGACTAGCGGAGCGCTCGGCTCAAACATGGTCGGCCGAAATCGAAGCAGATGAACCCCAATAGGTATGAGACGGCACTCACTGGAACGGGAGCCTCGAGAGCAATCCTGGCTTGGGCAAATGCCCTTTCGGCATTGCCAGGCGAGGTATATGTGTAAAATGTTGGGACGCATGTGAAAGCAACTTTTGACATTCGTCTTGCCCTAGTAGGTAGGTAATCTGCTGCTGGACGATATCAACGCAGCATGATCCAGTGTGTCCAACAAGACCGAAATCGTGTTGTGAAATGCCAAGGCGGTTGCCACCACCCCCATCGATATGCATGCGAGTTCCGGCAAGATGGGAAATCCTGTTGTGCAATGCAGCTTATGTTGGGGATGAGTGGGGATCTTGAAAGAAGTCAATTGGTGAGGATGTTTGATGTTTTTTTGTTGAATGCGGTTGCAGGCAATTGGCCAATGGGATCAAAGGTGCGACCCTTTCTGCAGCTTGTCAAACCTCGGCCGAGCGGGGCCTTGCATGCCGTGGAGGGGACTAGCCGCGATATTTTTTTTTTTTTTTTGTCATCTGGGGTTTGGGACATCGACTGTCCACCAGCTTCATCCCGCGCTGTTATCCCACTAAAGGAATTGCATGTGATGCGAACTGGTCAGGGGCCCTCTGATCAACAAACCTCGTCCATCACGGCAACTCCGCAATCGCCTCGTCTGAGCCCTGCTTTCTGATCACAATCGGCTAGAGAGCTTGTTGTGGGACCCAAAAAGGTAAAATCGATGCCATGGTGCCAAAGCTTTGGAACCGTCGATTTTTTTTTTCCCCCACCCATGCCTCGCCGCGGTTGTATGTATATTTTGCCTCCACGGAGGCGATGTAAGCGGCATGCCCCTCCACATCATCCCAACCATGTGCCAGATGATTGCTCGGATGAACACCCGTTAAGGCTGGCGGCGTTCCCTCAACCTTCCTTCAGATAAGCCAGGCTCCGGGAAGGGCGACGGCCTTGAGCGTAGCTGCCCGATCTACAGCGGAGTCGAGTCAGGACTATTTTCGTTGCATCTCGATTTTTGTGGATAGGTACCCAACGACGGAGTCACATTTCCATATTGCTATCAAAGAAGTGTGGAGGGGAGCTCTTCCACCCCGTGCGTGGTACCCAGTAAGCAGTATAGTAAGTGTAGGTAACTAGGTAGGTAATAAATCTTCAAGAGCATGTAGTAGCTGAGGAAAGATCTTTACGCTCTAGACCGCACCGAAGATGTCCAAGCACGTTCTAGCACGCGCCCTGATACGGCAAGCAAGAGATAAATTGCCATAATCTGTCTGCAACTTCCGCAGATTCCTCTCATCCATTCCTAGGTCGGCTCATCCCTCGGTACACTGTCTAAAAGACTGTCTTTCCCCTCGTCTCTAAAGTGGTTCTCCGGTCTACCCCTGCCAGTGTGACGTGCATTTTGGGGGGGATCTGAAAAACGTTGGGAAAGCAAAATTCTAACAAAAAGAATCAACCGCCCGCTTCCCACCACGCCATTTATTTCTGAACCTGCTCAACACCACTTCATCTTTCCAGTCTGGCCATTGTCAGTCCCCAAGGACGCAAACCGACGCAAAAATGGCTTTCCAAGGCGTATCTTTGACGCTTCCCGACGTCTCCCTCTTCAAGTTTCCTCCAGGAACCGGTGCTGGCTTCGTACCCCCACCTCCCCCGGGCACAGCGTCGTTTGCCCCACCAATCGCCATCCCCGATCATGTCTACCAGGCCGTGCTCGATCCCAAGGTGCCCCTCACCATCGCTGCTGTCTACGCCGTGACGGCCAAAGCCCTCAACAGCTACAACAAGAGCACCGGCAAGAAACCATGGGCCATATCCAAGACCCGGGCCTTCCGCTGGTTCGTCATTGCCCACAACATCTTCCTCGCCGTCTACTCTGCCTGGACATGGTGGGGTATGTTCAATGCCCTCCGCCGCACCATGGTGAGCCCCATGGGCCCTCACGGTTTCGCTGCCACCGTCGATTCCATGTGCCAGATCAACGGCCCCGGGGGTTTTGGTAACTCGGTATTCTGGGACGAGGACTCCAGCTCCTGGAAGACTCTTTCAGGGGGTGTTTTGACCGAGAGTGCCGCTGCCAGCCGGTTCGATGGCGGCCGCATGTGGAATGAGGGTCTTGCTTTCTATGGCTGGCTCTTCTACCTCAGCAAGTTCTACGAGGTCTTCGACACCCTCATCATCCTCGCCAAGGGCAAGCTCAGTTCCACCCTCCAGACCTACCACCACGCCGGCGCTATGATGTGCATGTGGGCTGGTATGCGTTACATGTCCGTCCCAATCTGGATCTTCGTCTTCTTCAACTCGTTCATCCATGCGATCATGGTAAGTCTTTGGTCCCTGACTCAAACGAATTGGAAACGAACAGGCGCTAACAACTGGTCCAGTATACTTATTACTCGGTCACCGCGTTCAAGATCCGGGTGCCCATGTTCATCAAGCGTTCCCTCACCTCGATGCAAATTACCCAGTTCCTTGTTGGTGGTTCTGGTGCCATGATTCACTCCTTCATCAGCTACAAGATCCCCGTTGGTGCTGGGTCCAAGACCGGTGCCGCTGCTTCCTCTGCATCTGCCGTCGCTAATGGCTCTGCTGGCTCCTCTGGCAGCGTCAAGGGCGTTTTCGAACAGCAGACAGTGCCCTGCATCACTTCGAGCGGGACTACCTTTGCTATTTGGCTCAACGTCTTCTACCTTGCCCCTCTCACCTACCTCTTTGTTGCTTTCTTCATTGAGAGTTACATTCGCCGTAGCAATGCCGCTAGCTCCAAGGCTAAGGGTTCCAAGCCCAGCGATGCTACCCTGGTTGAGAAGGCCACTTGGGATGCCGCCAACAACGTGAAGCGTGAGGTCTATGGTGAGAGCAAGGAGTCAGTCAAGAAGTCGAATGGCCGTGTCCTCCGCAGCAGACAATAGATGTGATCAAAAGGTTGAATCTTTTGCACATTTTCGATCTACAACGACGTACATACGAAGGCCATGATTAAGAAGAGGAAGCATATGTCGTCGTGGTGGAGCTGTAACTCTCATGACAGGTTCTTTTTTCTTTTTTCTTTTTCTTTTCTTTTTTTATTCACAACACTTTGACATCAACTATAAGCATCTTTGCTTATCCGGTGAAGTCCTTCAAAAGCATAGCGGAACAAGTGGTTTATTTATTTTGGGTGGCGATTGGTCAAAAAGGAATGGGTTTGGTTTTTTTTTTTTTTTTTTTTTTCAGGGCATTGGTATCGGATCATAAGCATAAAAGAGAGAGAGGAACGAGAAAAATGTAAGGCTCAGCCCAAGTCATGGGACTCTGTGCCAGATGAAGCAATTTCAAGCGAAATATCTGCTGGGTGAATCACTGTCAGTGCAACCAACAAGTCCTTCAAGGAACTTGAGATTGGTGAAGGGTGGATTAGGCGATGAGAGTAGAGATTTGAAGTTCTGCAATGACCCGAGGCGTGGTTGGTCAAAAATGTAGAGAATAAAGGAAAAACAGTTTCAAAACTATTCGTTTTTGTTTTGTGAACATGACTCTAATTAGATGCCCGAGCGAATCTCGAGCATTGTGAACATTGTAATGTCGAAAGAATGCCGTTTTCATGTTGCCATATAATTAGGATCTACTCTACTCAGGAAAAGAAGAGTAAGTGTTGTTACAACAAGAAGATTTCAGAGGACAATCACACACCCGAATTGAAGCTGCATCGAGTAGGTGATTTTTGACGATCTCACTATTCTTGAAATCAACTACCTAATAAAAAAGCCTTTTATTCGTACAGTATGTATGTACAGTACCTTGTCGCTCGTGTTCTTCCCAGTCAACAAAATA